CGCGCCGCGTGGTCACCCGCTGCTTCTGCCACGGACTGTTAAGCTGGGTCCCTGTGTGCATCTCTGATCGGCGCTACACAAGTGTCTTGGCTGTGTTCTCCTAGTCTTGGTGGGTTAAGCATAGTGAAAACTGAGTGACTTGCTTCGAATGCGCTCGTCTGAACTAAGCAAGGAGTTCAGGAACTCTCCGAGAGGGGGTAAAGTTGCTGGTGTTCAGTGTGTGGATGTCCACGGACTGTTAAGCTGGGTCCCTGTGTGCATCTCTGATCGGCGCTACACAAGTGTCTTGGCTGTGTTCTCCTAGTCTTGGTGGGTTAAGCATAGTGAAAACTGAGTGACTTGCTTCGAATGCGCTCGTCTGAACTAAGCAAGGAGTTCAGGAACTCTCCGAGAGGGGGTAAAGTTGCTGGTGTTCAGTGTGTGGATGTTTTCCGTCTGTGAGCCTCCCAAGAGGCATAGCTTAAAGCACGCTGTGTTAAAGGCAGTCTCAGGTGATTTCTTTGTTTTACAATAGCACATCCTTTTTTCTCCTTTTCTTCTTTACCTCCACATGAAAGTTTGGGGAAACAGTAAAAATGGCTATGCAAAATGGAGTCAAAACCACAAAGTAAACAAGTTATGAGAAAGATCCATGATCTACTACTAAATTTCAGGTTTATGATAACAAGCTGATGAAATACCCAGTAGTATTTTAAAATAAGCAGCAGATTCTTAAGAAAAGCTGCTGGCAATATCTGCTGCTTAGTTTTCTGTTTCACTTCAAATATCCCAAACTTTTCAAAGCCAAATGAACTTTCATAGTTGTTTGTTTTTTCTTCATGTTTGATCTGTGAAACTTTAAGAAAAGAAATGTAAAATACTTTAGCAGAGTTCTTTTAGCAATTTTGTGTTACGGGAGGAGAGGAAGACTGGCTGTACTTTTACATGCATAGGTTTTTTTTTATTTGGCTGAAGTCTGAGAGTAGTCAGTTTTACTCAGAGGAGCCAACTTTATTTTTTCCTCCTTAGGTTCTGGGAGAGGAAAAAAAAAAAAAAGAAACGGTTTAAAAATGGTTCTGAACACTTGCTGTGGCAACTAAGGCTCCAGCCGCTTCATGGAGTTCAGAGTAAGCAAATTGCTGCTGTGTGGGGATCATTTCTAACACATGTTGTTCCTGGGCCTCTGTGTTTAGCAGACCTTAGAGACCACTTTAATTTTATAACATCTGCCAGTTTGTCCCTTTTTGTTTTGATTGTCAAACTCATTGTGACCAGCGTAATGGGAGATCTCCTAAACTAAAATGATGTTAGGCCTTTATTTGGCATTGTTCCTGGCACAAGTTGTTTGCAAAAGCATGCAAGCATTGCTTAAAGCTCACAAGCGCATGTTCCCCATGCCAGTATCCCATTCCTGAACCCATGCTACCTCCTTGCTCATTTTTAAAACCAGAAAGAAGGGGGATGAGAGAAGGGAGAAATACCAGCATATGGAAAAAACCTTAAAGTTCATAATCTTCCAGCTGACAAAGTCACACCACAATTTGCAGGGCTTTACTGAATGATCCAGCACCCATACCAGTGGAACAGTGTGCTGCAAATAACAAAGATTTGTGCCATTCTTACCACTTCCAGGTGCAAGTCAAGCCTTATCTTGAGTCTATTTAGTCTGTTTAGTTCATTTGTGAAATTAATTTTCCAAATTAGTCTCTTGCAGGAAAGTTGAAGCAGATCTGTGTGCCTGGCAGCAGTGCCTTGTGCTGAATGAAGGTGTGAATACTGTAGTGACTGAGCTCTCCCCCTGTGTAAGAGCTCAGAGAAAACCATATAATAGAAAAGTTGGGTCCTACTAGGTTAGGATCATTATCTTTGACTAACTGGCCTGTAGAATGTCTTACTAATGCGTGGGCTCTCACGCACACATGCATAGAACACTTCTCTATTCTTTTTTTCTTTTTCCTCCTGATCATTCAATTAATATGCCTTAAAACTGTGCAACTAGCCATGTGTTTTGTTAACTTTGATAACCTGACTTAGTTTTACAGAGTGCTTCATATAGGTTGTTTTTATTTATTTATTTATTTTCTGTTTGCATTTGGTTTGTCTCCCTAGTGTGTCTCTTTATTGTGGGATTTAGGGTCTCATCAACAAAGCCCTCTCTGAGAGCAGGATTTTGGTTTACATGACTCTAGATGCAAATTTGAGTAGATTCAGTGTATGATCAAATCTCTCTAATTTAGAGATCGTTGACCTTGGTGCTGTGTGACCATCAATGTATCATTCATCTAGCGGAGAAGAAAGGACCTTCTCTTCTGGAGTGCCAAGTAAAGGCTGGCCTGTTTGCTGCTGCAGTTTTGCCCATGACACTAAATGTCCCATGTCACTAAATCAAATATTACTTAGGAAAATAAAATTGCATTTTAAATTGTTTCACTTGCAGATTTCATATGTTAGTTTGGTCCTAAATACACTGTTAATATTTTCTTCCAATAAAATACCTGTTTGGATGGTTATGAAAAAAAATGAGTGTATACTTTTGACATTTGATACTCTCCAAAGATGGAGAGTATTAAGGAAATTTGTCATTTTTGTAAGTGTGTAAGATGTATTTGATTTTTTTAACATCCTTGAAAAAGATATATAAATATATTAAAGGCCTATGCTTGGATATAGCGGAACCCTTGGGGCTGGAAGCATCTGCCCATGTTCATCTTGCTGCAGCGGTGTGCCTGCAAGGTGCTGTGCTGGGGCTCTCACGAACTGTTCTGCCGCTGTCTTGCTGTGGGGGATTATGCAGAGTTGTATCCCTGAGGAATTGTCTGCAAGGTGCAGTTTGGTTTAAGCAGCCAGACAGGTGCGTGTACTAGTAGAGTGGGGAGAGGTGAGGGAGGTATGTGAATGATGTAGATGCCTGTGAGGAGGGAGCAGCTGCTATTTTCATTTGGGTGTTTGCTTTGAGTTTGACTGGTGGTGTAGGGTTATTCTGAAGAGGGAGGAAAGCTCTGGAAATTTTCCCTTTTCCACATTTGTGGAACTTACCCTTGTAGTTCCCAATGGCCTGTAATCATGTATGGCCAATCTTTATGGCATCATACCTCTCTTTCCACTTATTGGTTTGTTTTAATTTAAAAATAAATAGCACTAATTTCTATAATTTAGTAGCAAATCCTACTCTTCTAAAATAAACTGTAATGATCAGATTTTTTTTTCCAGATACTCTTCTAAATACTCTCATTTATTTTGATATAGTATATACGTATCATTATCATTTTAACTGTAGTTCACTTTGTTCTTTGTGTCTGTATTTTTTAGGACCCTTGAAACCAGAAATTACCATAACTTACATTGCTGTTTCAGCTATATTCTTTAACAGTGGACTCTCATTAAAAACGGAGGTATTGTAATTTCTAATTGCTTCAATCTTGTTTTGTTTTACAAGTCTTGTGTTACTTTTGATCAAATTTGGATGTAATTGGAATGTTTAATTGCTAGGCTGCTGTTGTGAGAATGGCTAATAAAAAAAAAATCAAAATTTGACTTTTATAGAGTAATCCCTCTTTATTTCAGGAAAAATATCTTGATGAAACAGTGGAGGCGGTGAGGAGAGCGTGAGGGAAGTTCAACCACCCACAGGTGCAATGTGCACCTATTCTGTGCATTGGTTTCCATGATGTGCTGTTGCTCAGATTAGATCCAGGCTAGGAAATTGTGTGAATCCAGGGTGGCACTTCATAGGGACCTAAGTAAAGAAGCTAAATGGAGTATCCGTGCATCTGTAAGGCATCAAGAAAAGCTGCGAGAGCACAATGTCTCTCTTTCAAGCATCCTGCCAGCGTGTTCCCTAAGTAAGGCTGTGGGCTTGCCTATCCCAGGTTCATGTTCATGAAGATGTAAGATCTAGTGACTTTAAGTTATCACATTGGGTAGACCCAGGATAGCAGCTAGTAGCAGTGAAAATAGGATTATTCTGTAGATGCAAGGCTGGTACAACTTGGACAAAGTTTTAGCAATCTCTTACAGCTGAGTGGACTTGAAGTTCCTACACTCCAACACATATCACAGACAATTTTTTTTTCTTTCTTTTTGAAGAACAATGATCTGAGAGTAAAAGAAGGTGAAGGAGAAAACCCCTTAGTGAAGTATAAAGTGGAGAGGGAGCAGGAAGTGATTACTTTTACTGAGTAGCCTGGATAGAAGGGAAACACTGTATTTCTTTTTTAGTCTAGTTTCATGGTTTCTTTTACTCTATTGCCTGTGCTAACATGTCATTTGCATGTTTCTCAAAACTAATGCCAAAAAAAGCATCATGGTCTTGTCTAGTATTGCAGTATATTCTGGGCAAAGTATCAGTGGGCCTTGGACAGTATGTACTGAACTGAAAAGTTAATTTCTGTGCTTGTATCGCGACTGTGATGATAATGCTTCAAATGGAGGCTGTGTTTGAATTGTTGCTAGTCCTTTCTTTCTGTATTTAATTAGGTAGGTAGGCAGGCAATTCTGACACAGGGGCCATTAGATTCTACCTGCATGCAGTGTAAGTGAAGTGAATAATTTTAGTCAGTTCTGTAGCAGCTGTCTAGAGCATTGTGCTCATATGTGGAAGCAGAAAGAATCACATCAATATATGTTTCATTGGAACAGTAACCCGTCCTGATGTTTTCCATAGAGGACCCAAAACATAGCATCTGAGTGGTATTACTAGAGTGGAATTTTCTGCATTCAGTGTTAAAAATCTTTGCATGCAGAAGACAAAATGAAAAACTACTTTCCATTGTAGTAACTTGAATCCTTGAAACTTCAGATTTGTAAAGCTTTTCAGAATTAGAATGAAATCTGTGGTGTAATCAGAATCTTGGCTAGATTCCCAATGCTAATATATCCCCCTGTCTAACCTTTTCCAGTTAAGGTGGTATGGCTGACAGGTTCCTGGCAACTTGTCATGCCCCACTTCAATCTTGTATAACTCTTTTCATGTGTGGTTCTGAAAGGAATGCATATATGTGTGTGTGTAAGTGAAGTCTTTACAGGAGCTGCATGTCCAGCTAGCTGCTCTCAGATTGTTTTAGAAATGGCAGTTAGTACTGGTAGTGTCCATCTAGCTCTGTATTTCATCAAGAAACTCTTCTCTGTATCCTCTAGCCCAATGGCAGAAATGGAGGAAAACGGAGTTTGAGCAATTAGTCCTAGTGCTGTTACTTTTAAAAAAGTATAATAAAAACTGTCCTGAAATGTTAGGAGGCCAGATCATGGTATTAAAATGCTTTGGCATATGTCTTAATTTTTACTTTTTTCTTAATATGTCCTTTATTGTTTTGAGAAGCGCAATCTAAAGTTGGTGTTACTTGACATTACATGTATCTTCTTACTGAGTTGCAAAATAAGTTGTTTCTGCTTTTGTCTTAATTAGTTCTGGATAGTCTGCATGTTTACTGTTTTAACTTCAGTAACACTAATTTCATTTGAATTAATATATTCAGGGTGCTTTATGAAAATAACTTGTATAAGATTTAACTGAACATGTATTCCTTGAAGAAAAGAATCTGATAAAAAAACAGAAATGGCCAATGCTATTTTAAATTTACACTTCCAACTTCATCTGTTGTGAAAATACACACTCAGAAAATTACTTGTTAACATGTATTTAGAAAGCATTTTACAAAATAAAAGACAGCTTTCAGGGTGATCTAGTTTGTGTACAGCCTTGTCATGTTTTCAAAATTAAGGGTGACAGTGGTGCTCCTATGTCTATAAAAATAGTTTGTGGCCAGGAATTGCAAGAACCTTTGACTTGCACCTTTTCAGTTTTCGATGACTGGTTAGCTTGCCTTTTTTTGATGGGAGTCCTACTGCAGGCCCCAAGAAATTAAACAACATGCTTTAGTTATACATTTAAATGAGGAATCTGGCAAACCACTGAAAACACTGCTGCTCTGTGTATGCATTTGCCAGAGGAGTCCAGCTCTGACTGTCTTAGTGTGAATGGGAGGTAGCAGGGGCTTACAGTGACCAGAGATAAAGTTCCCAAACCTTTCTGAAGAGTCTAAAATACTGAGGAAGACAAGGTAATGTGTCTCCACAGTCGGTGTGGAGAAACTGAGTCATAACTGGCATAATCTCTGAGATTTCTGCTCTTTTTGTGGATTCTAGTGACTGAGGTATTTTGAGGCAAGGTATTTGTAGAGTGCTTTAGAAGATGACAGCTGTTTGCATTAGTGTTTGACCTTGAGTCTAAGCAATAGCTATTTGTGTGTGTGTGTGTGTGTGTAGACTGAACGTAGCCTGCCCGAGAATTTTCTTTAAAAAACAAACAATTCCTTCTCCTTCAAATTTGTTGCATTCGGTAACCAAGGATTGAATGTTATGGTGCTTTTTCATCAAACTGGGTCAAGAGTCAAGATGTTCATTTGAAGCCCTTGTTTTGTGTTACTTTGAGAATGGGGTTTGAATAGATACATCATTTTCAAGGCTTTTTTTTTTTTTTTTTCCCGAACTCAAATATTGGGGATAATTTTGGTGAAAGAAATAAACGATAAGGACATGGTGCCTAATTGCTTATACTTCCAGATGATCCTTGACCAACTCTCTAGAGTGCTTTTCTTTTGATGAAAGCTGCTGTGGAACAACAAAATTTTATTTATTTTTTTCAGTCTCCAGTTGCCTTTTGCACGTTATTTCTGTGCCTTTTATGCCTTGGCTTGGTATTTGTTTCTTTGGTCTTCTTCAACAGCCTAATTTCTTTCTATACGTGAGCTCTTTCATTTACAATCTGACATTCAGTAATATTTATAAGGTATCCTATTACAATAAATAATACAATTTACAATTTCCTATTACAATAAATAATTGTATTATTTATTGTAATTATTGTATTATTTATTATTATCTGCTTTGTTACTTTGTTTACTAGCCTTTCATTGAGGAGCAAATTTTCTTTTGTTTTGAAAATGAAACAAAACTCCTAGGTAATGACTCCTTGTAACAAAGATCCCTTTTTGCTCTAACAAAGAATTGCACTTTATGGCTCCCCTTAGACTAAGGAAAGTTTAAATCACATGGACACTGCAAGTTTCCATTTTTCTTGTTATTAGCAGTCAATAAAGTAAACAATCTATCAGTATAGCTAACACAGGCGTTGAGGCAGTGACACAGTTCTAAGCCTGGGCTGTCTGCTGAAAGCTACTGTTGAGAACTACGCTAATATTGAGGAAGTGGACAATTGCTTTGGAGAAAAACTCAGGGAACACACAGAGCCTGTATGTTGTCTGGATGTGCATAGCTATTAAAGATGAGAACGGATGATCCCTAAAGGTGCCTTTTTGACATATGTTTTCTTTGTATTATAAAGATGATCCTAGTTTTAAAGCACAAACATGATCTTACTTTGGCTGTTATGACTGTAACTTCCTCTCTTCTTTTTCTCTTGCAGGAGCTGACAAGTGCTTTGATGCATGTGAAACTACACCTTTTTGTCCAGATTTTTACGCTTGTGTTCTTCCCAGCAGCAATCTGGCTCTTTCTTCAGCTATTATCAATCACACGTATAAATGAATGGCTTTTAAAAGGGTATGTTTAAACATAATAGACTGAAATATATTTGTAGCCATCTTTTTAAAGGGCTGCTTATCCTGCAGTGTGTGTGTTATGAGTTGTATTGTGAACAGGTTTTGTTGTTTTTGTGCTTCAGTGCTTTGCAATTGAAAACACTGTACAGACAAGATGGTGCTTTCAGCAACGTGGTTTGGTTAGTTACATATGTAGGGAGCTTGCAACAGGTCTGCTTTCTATTTCACAACAGGCAGCTGCTGTCCTAGGTCTCAAGGAGGATGAGGGGGAAAGAAAATGTTTGCTTAAGAGGAGCACATGCCTATGAATACATATTATGTATGGCATGTATTGGTATTCTGTTTTGTTTTTAAAACAGTCTGTATTGAGCATCTCTTGCATGTGTCCAGATTGGAGTACAGCATCTGCTTCTAGCTAACTTGTGGAGAGGGGGAAAAAAGAAAGAGAATAAAGCTTTTGCAAGAGAACTTTGAGATGAGTAGAAGCAGGCATTCTGCTAAGTGCAGGGCTGTCCAAATGAGAAGGTGGAATCTGAAATGAACATCATCCAGAGTTAGTACTGTTTTGATTACAAGGATTAGTACATCAAGTAAAGAAAGTAGTGAAACAATGTTCACTTCCATTTGGTGATTCATAGTAAAGGTTATTCTTTATAAAGTAAAATCACTGGATTTATTTCCCCCTTTCCCTTTTTTTTTTTTCTCTCAGCCAAAACATGGGATTTTTAATGGCAAGCTTGAATTCCTCCTAATCCATGACAGTCTCTTCCTGAAGTATGAAGCTCAAGGAATTTTGATGATTTTAATTCCTTACACCACTTCTTATCCCTCTTTTCCGGATGCCTCTTATGCCGCTCTGGTTCTTAATATTAAAGGGCTCCTTTTGCAGTTATGTGCGCAGCTATATGTATGTAGTTTCACATGTGTGTATATTTATACATACATACATGTGTGTGACAAATACATGTTATGTGTGACTAAGCATTCTAAAATGCCTTTTTTTTTTCTCTTCAGGGAGTGGTGTCTGTGTTTTACTTGTGAGCTAACAAACTTCTATATGCCTTAAGCAGTCTTGCAAGCATTTGGTCCTTGAGTACTGTTTCTGTTCTGGCCATGTTTTATCTTTATTATTCTAACTCTTTAGTATGTCAGCTTTATTCAAAAAACGGTCCAATAAGACCATTTAATAACTCATATTAAAATAGAAAATGTCCACATTTTCTCACATGTCCGTATGTAGGTACACAAAAATAGAGCAAAAACAAGAGGAACTTCCAGTGCCCCATGCACTCTATTTAATTGGAATTTTATCTGAGTGCCTCACAAGCTGTTATTCCCTCAAAACACTGAAGTATCCTGATGAGGACAAGAAGTTGTAAAATGAAGTTTAGAAGGCTTTTCTCTTCATCACATGTATTTAGTACAGCTTGGAATAGGAGCTAATTGATAGTCCTTACAAAAGCCTGGAAAAATTAGGCACATGCTCCCAAGGAGATTCAGCTTCCTTTTGGCAGGGCAGCTCCCGTGAGGACTGCAGTTCTCTGCTACTGCTCTGCTTACTGTCATAAGGTTGTGCCTAAAGGACACAATCAAGCCCACAGTTAATTTCCTGCCTTGCTTTCAGGATTTAATTCATGGATGATAGATTTTGCCATCCTCTATAACCATCTGTTTTACTGTAAATATTATTTGTGAGGCAAATTCAGATGTTATCAGCTCTTCATATCTTCTCCAGTGCTGTGGGCTTTTTTTCTCCCTCTGCCTGAGATTCTTTTAGAAGATGTTGCCTGTTTTTGTTCTACAGTAATTTTGAAATATATAAAATAGATGAGAAACTGACATTTAGTGTGTCTTTGGCTTTTTTTTGTTAACTGACTAGGTTTTATATTGAAAGGATTTGTTCAGAAAGGAACATGAAGCAGCTTATATAACGTTTGCATGTGTTCACTTCTGCCTGCTAGCATATGGCAATACAGTGCCATTTGTAAGGCATCTACCACAAGGTGCAGCTTTGGTAGTTACTTATGTGACTGGGACCTGTTATTCTTTAGTTGCCCGTAGTATAACAATGGGTCTGGTATTGCTTATGGCCCTTCAGCAAGTCCTATGATACTGACGGGCGTAGTGCTGCCTCGACAAATGGAACATTTCAGCTTATTGGTTGTTGTCTGCAATAGTCTGTTGTTGTTAGAGGAGTTTGCATGATCCTGGTGTATTGCATGGAGTTGATAATAAAGTAAGAAAAAAAAGTTGGCAGGTTATTGAGATGCATGTGATTTTTATACATGTGATTAAAACCATTTCCATTTAGCATTATATCCTGTTTTCTGTATACTTATATTTTTGCATGAAGCATGGTTAGAACCATATCTTGATGGTGTTTTTTTTTTTTTAATTCCAAATATATCATTTTACATTTCAGATGGATCTTGTTTATTAAACTTTTCTCTTAGTGTGGAACATTCCTTTTAACTGAGATGAATATACTTGCACACATTTCATACCTCTCCTGATAACTTTGAACTTATCCATCCTTTATTAGTGCAGGTGAGGAATTCCAGAAGCAAACTATTAAGAGACTGTTATAGAAGAGATTTCATGTCACAGCTGATACCAGGGGTGAACATCAGAATCGCCATGTGCTTCCTGGTTTTCACTATTTCTTTTTCCCATATCTTTCATTTTCACAATGTGCTTATGCCACTAAGCACTGAGAGCTCCCTGCTACCAGTGGCTTGTGTGTAAGTTAAAGGTGCTAAGCAATTCCAAGGCGATGCTTGGCACTTCCTGTGATGGCATCCAAAGAATGCACATACTGGAGGCCTTTTTTCTTTTCTACTGTGTCTGTAGCTGATAAAGTGAATAGAATTCAGAATAGAATTATAGGTGCAAAATAGTTCACGACCAGCACTTGCCCTGAACAGGGATATTGTGTCGAACTCCAGTATGTGAAAACTTGCATAGAGTCCTTGCTTTTTGATGATTCACATTTTTTATTATTATTATTTTTAATTTCCTGTCTTTCCGTTCCTTCCAACTGAATGGATTTTTTTCTTCAGAAGGCCAGTTTTGCTTATCCCTAAAGTTCATTGGGACTTGTAGCATGTTCTTGGTTGTTTCCGACTGTGTATTCGACACAATTGTTTTGCAATAATGGCTTTTTGTAGAGTGTATTTGAAAACAAAAGAAAGGTCACAGTTTTTGTGTTCTCACTTTGCAGCAGCCTTTATTATATCCTTTGATAATTGTGATGGACAAACAGCAGATGAAATGACGGATAATAATTATACGTTTTAAATTTAAAATGCAGGAGAAAACTGTTGATGTTTTGATAAATGGAAGTCAGATGATGTTACCAAGAAGTAAAAACGTGCATAAAAATAAAATATTTGATGTCTCTTAATGTTCATTAAATAAAAAGCTTAATTGTGATTTGTATTTGGCGCAATGGACTTAATATCTCTGTTAATAGTGAATGCAGTTCTACAAGTGGGAAACCAGTCAGAGAGACTGTTTGGGTTTTTAACGGTGATGTGACTGTTCAGAGTGGTGGTTGGTAAGAGATGGCTTAGAAATCCTGCTTCTGGTACTGACCTATAACCACAGCACAGACTGATTAGGTTGTACTGATGATGAAATAATTGTTTTTGCTCAACTATTTAATATTTTAGATTTTCAGGTTGTAGAGTGTTTGCATGATGCAAGGAATGTAACATTTCTTTTTGTTGTTTGCAGCTTGCAGACAGTAGGCTGCATGCCACCTCCTGTGTCTTCTGCAGTAATTTTAACCAAAGCTGTTGGTGGAAATGAGGTGAGTTTTAGTTTTGATCTTAATCCCTCCCTGCTCCCTCCCCCCTCCTGACCTTTTTTAGCACAATTTAAAAAATATATTATTTATTTATGAAGAAACTGTGTGGAAAAACATTGACTGGAGCATACCACTATTGTGCTTTGTAAATCAAAAACACTTCAATCCTTTAGAATTAAAGCTTGCGTATTGTGTTGGTGTCCTGCGTTATTGCAGGGCTTTCCCATTCTAGAAGCTACAAATGCCACAAGTGAGACAGTGAACGTGCAAAAAATTAATGCAAATATTATATTGTATCAATTGAAAAAAAAGTCAGAATTGCAATTTTTTGGTGCAAACTCAAGTTTTGTTGCCTTAAGATAGCATGTACTCATGTCATTTAAGAGTATTTATTTTTCAGCAAGATGCCTGATACTTTTAGGAATGATGTTTAGGAAATAAATCCAGGTGTGATAATTAATGATGAGGCTGTTCTCTTTAAAGCTTCCCTATACTTCTGGAGCTGAAAGAAAGGTGAGGAAGAAAGAGGAGAATGCCAGAGAGTGGTTTTAGCTGGGGCTGTTGGGGGAACCATGATGGAGGATTAGAAACAAATCTTAATTCAGCCTATGTGTCATGGGGCGAATCACTTCAACTACAAGCCTGTAGATAGGCTTTATTTAGGTGCTTCTCATTTTCTGAGCTCAGACTCTTGGGACTGATTTATGTCAGCTTTGAAAACACATGATAGCACTCAAATAGATTGAAATTGTACTTTGTACTGACAAAGTGCTGTTTAATTGAGAGACCTGAAGCATCTCGAGACAAGCATCCCTAATTATGGGCAATCCTGATGCACATCACTGGCTCCATTTGTTGTGTGAAAATGGGGATCATAAAATTGCCTGATGGAGTTGCTGTGTACTGAATAAATTAATTAGCATTAGGTAATGATTCAGGTATATAGCAATGAGCAACAGAGAAGTGAGAAGTTTTCTGGTTCTGATTCTACATATAGGCACTGTAAATCATCAAAATGCCACATACTGAACAGCAGGGAAAAAGTGAGATATTGAATGAGTGCTCATTCAGTGTTAGTGTTGTCTGTCCTATCCTTGGAACAAGGAATGGATCCTATGGAAAAATCAGTATAATGGGTTAGCTGAAGAGAATTTCATGGAGTTTTTCTGTGCAGACAAGAGAAGTGCTTCAGTTTGTTGAAAACTAGAGTTTTTTTCTTTAATATTCTTTTAATGTGGTGAGGGTGTGTGCATGTATTATACCTTATTTGAAAACTTGACACTACTACATGACTCTTGTGTAAGTAACTATATTCTTGTCAAGGAAAGCTTTGATTCTTCTGTACAGGATTGGTGTTGATGGACCATAAAAGCACATACCTTGTTAGTGGTTTTCACAGATAGATGCTGGCAGCACAGAGTGGACCAGGGATTAGGTCCTCAACATTGAGAGGTTTTAGGAAGATGTGCAAGAGAGAAACATCCCTTTAAACAGCCTTGGTGTAGACAAAGTGCAGTAAACAAACAGATTTTCAGTGCAAACATTTTTTTGAATCTGATACTTCTCTTACACTCAGACTACTGTTAATTGATCTGAAGAACAGCACATGAGATCCCTGATGCTAACGGAGACCCTTTTATTTTCTCACCAAATTTCATCTAAGATGTTGTTGTCTTTCTGTTTCTGACATGAGCAGTACAATGCATTTTTCTTCTGTTTTAAATAAAATAATTTCTGATATATGAAGTTATAAAATAAATGGAAATGGAAATAAAAGTGGTTGTATGGTGATAGCATTTGTTGATAATTATCCCTTAAACTGCTATTGCTTTATCAAGTGTGTTTTCCTTACCTGAAAAAATTGATTTGTTTGAGGGTGTATCTACACAGCATAATGTAATATGGAGATAAATGAGCCAGCTCAGAAGCAATATGGTGAGAGAACTCCATATGAGCTAATTAGTCTGAGAAGTGTCCTGCTGTTGTAAAGTACAGGCATACTCTGAATAAATGCTCTGAGAGCCTCTTTGGATTTCTTGAAATAGAGCAGATAGTAACCATGGTGGTTGACAATGTTACGGTGTTAGATTGTTTTAGATTTTCTTTATTTATTGGAACTGACTGATTCTCAATTTGGACTGAGGTAATTCTCAAGGAAATATCAAGCAGTGTGGTGTAGTAGAGGAAGTACTCGCCTGGGGCTGCAGAGACCTGGATTCTATTTGTAGCTTTGTCATTAACCTGTTGGGTAAAACTGAGTGGGGTGTCATTTCTCTAGGGTTAGCAGTAATGGATAAGAGCAATTTCTCTCTGAAGTGTTTAAAAATCTATGCTGCAAAGCTTCATGTGTAAGAGGTTTTTGGTTGTTTTGAGGGGGAAAGTGATTAAATATTTGCTTAAAGTACACTCCATCATGAATGGTTGCTGGGATAGCTGCGCATTTTTCTGCATATCAGTTGGAAACTTGGATAACAGATGATAAAAATAATATGCTTTTCTTAGTCTTACAAGGATCTATCTTTTAAATGATATGTGTCAGAGGGCACAAAATAGAAGATCTACTTTTGTTGACTTGGGAAGGTGTGACCATAAAAGCTAATATTAAATTGTGTTTGCCATTTCAAAAGTTCATGTTCTGGGACTGCAGGTACAAATTCAGGTAAACTGAAAACCTTCATTATTATGTGCTAACTGTCTGTATTCTATGGCAAGTATACTATCTACAGGTGTTTTTTTTTTTTTTAATTGTTCTAAAGTGTATTTCATAAAAAAAAAAAGTTCATCTAAGCTCAGCTGCCTTGGTGTGCATTAAAGAAGACAATGGCTCAGGAGTTGCTCAAAAGTGCAAATGTAAAATTTTCCAAAGCAGAAAGGTGTCATTTTGACATCAATGGGACACCATCATTGGGATATCATACATTGTTTGATCGCTAGATCTGTGATCTATACTGCTTTTAAATTTCTCATCTTAACAACTGTCAGGCACACCTTCCAAGCTCTTCAGCCAAACTGCTTCAGCCTTTACATTATTCACATGGAAGGATGAGTCTTGGAGAATGCCTGGAAGAGAAGAGGCTGGGGCTATTTTGATGCGGCAGATCTTGATGGTTGGGGCATTACAGGGAAGATAAGCCTCTGTCAGCCCTCTCCTTCCATGCTTAAGGAGAGGCAGCTTTGCCTGTTAGCTTGCCTGGTTTTGGTTACTTGTGACCAGTAACACAATGGTGGGGAGATGCTGATGTTCGATTAAAGAGCCCTCCAAGCCTTTTGGTGTTTAGGAGGTGTAGAGTGATTGGATGGCTTGTTTAAGAAAGGGATGAAAGGATGACTTTAAAGTCATAGGGATTAGTCGAAGGACTAATCAAATTGTGAACCAGTATCTGATTTTTATATTTTTTTTGGAATTCTAGTTGTAATCAAGGAAGGCAAAATCTGATGTTGGCTTTAGAGTGGGAGACCAAAAATTTCTAGAAGCAAAGAAAATAGAATGACTGACTCAGTTTCAGTACAATTGTTCCAGGAGATGTAAGATGGGCTTTCCAGTTCCTGAAGTATCCCCACAAACACCAGTAGCAGCAGTGAAGACAGTCTTTCTATATTACTTCATATATACTTAGCTTATATACTACCAATAGTACCATTTCCACGTTTTGGAAATGTCCAATATGAGGCTTTATGACATACCTACCAGTGGGTGCTGGAGAAATAGCTGGTGGAGACGAATGATGCGTGGATTTATCAGCTGTCTTTCAATTCTTGTTTCATCCCTCCTTTTCTCCCTAATTTCCTGCATTTCACCTGCGATCTCCTTCTATACGATGCTACTTTCATTAACCCTACAAGTAACTTTCAAAAACAACTTATTCCTTGCTTATATTGCTAATGCATTTAGTCCCTGAAAATCCACTTTCAAGAACAGTGTTGAATTTGATTTCATATGTATAAAGCCTATGTGAAGCAGTTCATATGTACAGTGATAAGAAACTAAGGAGGGATCACCATGAGAAAGCAATCTAATTTTTAATTTGTTGAAGATTCCTCTATTAGTTAGCTTCTGTCATTAGTGACATTCATGTACTCTTTTGATTCAGAAGAGGATAGTCCCTCTAGTTTCAAAAAATGCAGAATAAATGCAAAAAAGAGGGAAAAAAAAAGTCAGAAAGTCTGACTTCTGTTCTTAATTTTTGTTGAGCCAAGAAGGGTCAAAATGGTAATGTCTCACAGTACAAAAAACTGCTCTGTTTGGTGCTCTCTCTACCCCCCAGCAACAGAAAAAAAAACCCTCTTGTAACTTTTCAATGAAACTATAAGCTCCCATATAATTACAAATCTGCTTCTAACTCTCTGCATCTCTGTAAAAATGAGACAAATAAATGTGTCAACATTTGAAGGTGCTGTAAAGGCAAATGTATTCAGAGCTTGGAGATCCTCAGACAGAAATGCTGTAGAGATGCCAGATATTACTACAAAGTATTCAGACAGCAAATGTCATACTCTCTTTAAGAATCAAAGTAATGAAGAAAAGAGGTTGAAAATTAGATCTATAAGTCTATTATCAGTTTGGGAGAAAAACATTTTGAGATGACTTCTATGGCAGCTTAATGACATATTTTTCAAAAGTGTAACATAACAGAAAGGAGCTGTGATGGAATTGTACAGATAAATCATGGCAGACAGTTCATGTTATTGAAAAGTACTTTGGCTATTTTGTTCTCTCATACAACAAAACCATTGAATTTTTTTGTTTGGCTAAACTGCAGCTTGTAGTCTTACTCAAGTGATGTTTTGTATTTTGCAACTTACATAGTTATAGGCCTTTTGTAAAACAAATTGTTCTAGGGCTTTGGAATATAGAAATGTAAAAAACGAAGAAAGCTAGAAGAGTATTTCTGAAGCTATCTAACAAGAATTCTAGTAGTGTTTTTTTTTTTGTTTTGTTTTGGTTTGGTTTAGATTTGTGGCTTTTTTTTTCTTAAGCAGATTTAGAGCAGAACCCAAATACAAATTTGAAAGGAGCACAACCAACCTTTGTAGAAAAGAAGCAAGGGAAAATAGTAACATTTTACAACAAATAACATATAATAGTTTGAAGAGGTATTTTAAAGAGCATTGGAGTTTTTATTGTAAGTAAATGATGGAAAATTCCCCAGTGTTTTTTTTAAACAAAAAAGTGAACACCACTATAAAGTTACAGGAAAGATATTGATTTTTTTCTAAAAATATCAAAACAGTTCTTTGAACTGAGTATGTATGCCCATTAACCTTTTCAAAACAAAATGATTTTTTTAAAAAAAACCCTGCAAGATCTAGAGGTTTGTGATTCATACTCTGATGTATAGTGTACTGGGAGTGCTTACCTGGAAAGGTAACACATGAATATTACAAAACAAGATTGTTTAAGATCTTCAGATAAGTTATACCTGTTATTGCTTTAACTGTTTTCCCTAATATATTTTTTTTCTCTCTAAATAGAAGCTAACACTTGCAGTGATGTTATCCAAAGTTTAACTTTCAAATTATGCTTAAACTGTCCACAGATAATTTTTAGGTTTTGTTTATGAACAACTAAGTAATTTTGCTTTATTGCTTTTAAATTTCACGTTGTAAAAGGGAAAAGCCTGTAGTGATTTTTTTTTTCTTCTCCAAAGTAATAACTTTTGTTTCCCCACGCAGTAAGTACTTCTAGATGAAACTGTAATTAATTTTGCCCTTAGATACTACCCTGAAGTCCCTGGAAAATGTAGGTGTCAGAGGACAAATTCTGAGAAAATGTGTGTACTGTACATGTACAAATATAAAGAAATAACTGTAAGCATAAGCTGTGTTTGTACGTAGGAGCTGCTGTGCTATTAAATTCACTGTCTGTATTCTAGTATTACGGTCTAATTTTTTATGTATCCTAAGAGTTTACTTTTCTTTTATCATTACTGAACTTTGAGCAGATTGTTTTTATTGAACTATTTATTGACGCTTAGAGGTTTTTTCTTCCCTGAGTGGTGAGTGCATTTTGTATCCGTCAATGCATAGGAGTATCCCAAATTATTACTTACAATATGAATTTCATCACTATAATGTGTCCCAGTCACATAGCTCCATTAGACATATCTAGAGTTCATCACTGACCTTCTCAAGTCTTATATAACCCAAAGCAATTGTGGAACCTTCTGTGTGTTGTGTTTTTTTTTTTTTTTAATCTCTCTCTCTCACTGTGCTCTTTTCATTTGTTGCAAGTGATTCTAATACAGATCCGCTATTAAAAAAGCGCAGAAAGGAAGGGAGATTTTTCAAGAGCATTCAACATTGCTCTTCAATCAGTGCAAGCAAATTTGGATTAGTAGTGAGGCTTCTGAAATCCCCTTTTTTGAGCACTTCACCACTAAACTCCTGAATTCAGTTTGTAGAAAGCTTTTGATTCTCAATAACTTTGAAAAGTAGCTCATTTACTACGCAAAGGCATCAGTGCTTGAATTAGACTTGTAGTAAACAATTTATGTTTGTCCCTCGTTGCCAGTATATCTATTCATGGTCCTTTCATATGTGTCATATGGTGTTCAAAGGAAATAGCCTCTCTCCTGTGCTTCTGGGAATCTGTTGGGGAGAATTTTTTTAAACTGTCATGAATTGCTAGGTATGTATTTTATCCCTTTTATTCTTCTGCACGTAACCCATAAAATCTAGATTTCTGTTATCCCTTCCTGCCCATCGCTGTGAGGACCCTATCTCAATCCCTGAGCGCAATGGAAGAAAATCTGTCCCACGGAACACACACATGAAGTTTGAGGCTATAGGCAAAGACTGTGTAGAGCACAGAAGTGGAAGAATAGATAATAAATCTATTAAGTGTACAGTGCTATTTGCTATAGGAGATATAACACTGAAGTTGCAGCCTATGCATGTTTGCCTACCCAGATCTGGGGTGCTCATCGTAGCTCTGCCAAATCTAGTAAGCCACAGAAACCTGTTTAAATTATGCCAGAATGCGAAAGCTGTGGCTGGAAACTACCTGGAGTCTTCGTAGACTAATGTTTCTCTTGGCTGGGTTTGCCTGACTGTCCTAGAACTGACTTTTTAAGGGCATCTTCAGAGGCCTGGTGTCCCTGTTCTGCAGTGCTTGACTAGGGACATTGTGTTCTCATCTGCTGTGAGATACTCACTGACCCTTAAAGCTGTTTGTGACAGAAGGAAGCCAGGACAGGAGAAGTTTGCTCTCATGCTTGACAAAAAATGTAAACCACCTTTTAAACTAAGAGTTTTATAAAACTTTTTAAACTTTTTATTTATTTTTGTTTGCCTTGGTCTGCATGCAGGTTAATTCAGTGTGAAAGTATAGGAGGCAAGAACTTCCTTTATTTCGAGAGGAATGGTGTGTGAAATGTTAGCTATGCAAAACGAGCATTTTTAACAGTCTGAGCAAATGAGGGAAGTTTTTTCATTTAAAATGTTTATAGGAAATGAGGTCTGTTGCCCTGCTAAAAATCAGCTTCTATACCGATTGTTGTTTAAACTTTGTAGCTATTTAAAAAGGAGCTGGTGTGATTTTCTTTCACGAGAGAAGTGTTTTACTTAATTTTCCTTCCTCTGGAGTTATGGCATCATTCTGAACAGTCTTTCAAAGGAGAGCTCATCTTTTAGATGGCAAGGAGCTGGAATGCTGGAAATGATAATTCTGAAGGTGATAGCTTTTTAAAGCTGTGAGACTTGTTTGCCACGGAAGCATCTCATGCAATCTTAATTTCATCAGATGCCTGCCCAATAGCTGTGTTTATAGTGTAGAGTGTAATTTTCTAATGTTTTTCCTTCCACTGAGTAGGGCTATTGGCCGCATCCTGGTGACATGTTGCGTTCTGGTTCTTCATTCCATCACCTTTTGTCTTACAAAGCAAGTGCTAATCTAATATTAGTTTTAATTCAATAATAAGTGCGCAGTTTAATCATTGCCTACATTATGGCTGATGTTAAACCACCAGTACAGTGGAGCAGAAACTCTACAACGTCCTCTCTTGGAAGGAACAATAAAGAACCTTATTTGTTGTCTGTCTCTGTGGCTCCAGACCCTCTTGCATGAAAAGGGATACCCTTGCAAGGTTAATCACGGCTGTTGGTGGCCTCAGCTTTGTGAATAAAATATATATTTATAAAACTACTGAAAGTTAATATACAACAGCACTGATTTGACAGAAATAGCATGAATTCAGTATTTTCATCTAAAACCAACTTGAATAATAATATATAGAACACTGCTAATATTTTGAAGGTTAAAGAGCGTCTTTTACATTTGACTGCTTGCAACTCATTACACATAAGTTGGAGAAAATAAAAATGTCTATGGGGAAGACAGTATGCCCTATAGCAATATCTTTAGTAGATTTAGTCAAGGATAGCATTATTGTTCTTGAAGTGTACAGGTTTTAAATACTGGCTTATAAGAAGGCATTACATTGTTTCTCCTTTCTCTCTTAAGTTTGTGATTAGTCTGTTAAATTTAAAACTATTTCACTTGTGAATTCCTGTTGTTTCTACACAAGTATATTTTTAGTTGGCATGAATGAAAGTGTTTGCTGACTGGCTAGTAATACAATGTAAGAAGGAAAGCAAGCAGGCTCATAAATTCAGTATTTCTGAGAGTTTTATTTTCCTTTATTTTAGACATGCAAGATAAATTACTGACTTGCAAAATGTGCTTTTAAAAGGTGAAGCAGCATATTCAGTTAATTTTGCTATTATCTTTAAATCTTTTCCTTTTGCAAAAAAAAATGTTCACCGCTTTTTGTCATGATTATGAAAGGACATAATGAAGATTTTATCATTCTTTTAAATTGTCTGTTGAATGTTTGTATTCCATGCGTATTAAGAAGAAAGAGCAATACCAAGCATGGCTTGCCTTATATGAACAGGCAAAAAAAAAACCAAACCCTAGATTCCTTTATATAAAAATAAAAAACAGACCCAAACTTGTTTTCAGGTCTTTTTTTAAGGGGAGATAGGGTGCGCGAGAAGCATTGCTAGTTTGATTTTGTTATCCTTGTTTCTGTTAGAGCATTTGTGGAGAGCAATAGAGCAGTATTCCCTGATTTAAAATCATTACTTTAGGCTCCAGTTTCTGAAAATATTGACCTTTTTAGGAAATCTGAAAATGGCAAGGTGTTGGTAAACTGTTTCTGTTGAAGAAAAGTCCCATGCCTCCTGAAAACGCTTTGTCAGGCTTAAGGTCCCCGCAGCAGGCTGCGTCCTTGCTCAGCTAGTATTTTTGCAGGTGTTCTCCTGTGCATAATGCCTGTTCTGTATAAAATCCACTGCTTCCTCTCACACCTCTAAATTAACAAGGATGAAGGGAAAGCAGCACCATTCAGAGTAGCTGTAGCAGAAGCTAAAGCTCTGTGCTCACGTGGGAAGCCCCTGCAAGAAACTGGTAGCATTTATGAAATTTGGAGGAGCAGGAGAATTGCCGAAGGGACTTGGCACACTCGCCCTGCTGTAGAGGGAGTCCCCTGGAAGCCAAGTGCTGCTCGCTTGTCTGCATGGTGGCAGAGAGGAACTTTTGGTGTTAAATAGGATGTATGCCAACCTATTCCGTACCTCACCATATGCTTCCCCTCCGCAAGCCAGGCTCCAACCTTTTCTTCCCTGGCATTGCACGTCCCCTTGCCACCCAGAGCCTGACCTCTCGCAGCCCACACTGGTGTCTCTGAAGCCTGCCCTGCCGCAGGCCGCTGGCCGCCTCCCCAGGGAGCTAAGTGCCGGCTAAGTGCAGCTGCTCTCGGAACAGCACGAGGCAGAAGGCAACCAGGAGGAGCCGTGCTCCTGTTTGGTGAGATTTTATCATTCGTCAGTGCACGCGTAGCACTGGCAGGGCATAGCTATGTGCTTTTTGACCAAGGCAATAAAGCCGTGCTTGAATTTAAGGCAGATATTATTTCTGGAGGAATTTACTTGAAGGTATGGGGGAACAGACCAGTTTCCCTTATGTTATGCTATATACAGTGGTTCTTACTTTCTTTATTTTTAATATTAAAGGGATATTTGCTAAGAAATATATGAGTGAACAAAGAAGTCAGCATCTGTAGAGTGACTATAGCACTAGATAGCAATTTCTAGTAATTATGTGTCACATAAACTATAATAATATATATACTATTCTCCTGGGGATTTTTTTTTTAATTGAGCTGGTACAGGGCAAAAATATGACTCCTGAATTAATTTTACAACTTGCATATATAAATTCCATGAAATTTTGAGGATCTGAGAAACTCCGTTCTAGAAAGAGTATTGCAGCAGAATGCCCTAAATGGCAAGTTCCTAATGTGGATGGCTTTGTTTACCTGAACTTTTGTAGTGCATTGTTATATTTTGTAATGATCTAAATTCAATGAGTTTGTTGGTAGTGTTGCAAAATATCTATAGTGCATAGAGGGATATATGCTTTGATACGTAAGTGTGAGTATTTCAGCTCCAACTGCATATCCAAAACCTTTTAAAAGGAGATCTCAATGAGCCCCATGGGGCAAAATAAATTATTACATGTGGTGAACTCTTAAGTCATAGACCAAGGTCATGGCAGTGAGAATGTATTTCAAAAAGGTTTTATCTGTGCTTGGAAAGTAAATGAAATCTCTCATCATTAACTTTAGAATTACAGTTATAAGAGAGTTTTCACTAGGGGTGAAAGATCAAGTTCATGGCGGACATAATGGAGTCTGAAAAGTTCTTCCTCAGACATAATATGAGCGCATGAAACATTCACCGTTTTCACGGTATTGATAGGGAGTTTATAGCTACTAATGCAGACACTGAAGATCAGAATTACATTCACCATCTAGCTTTAGTCTAGCTTTTTAAATGACAGACTTTTTTAAATGATAGACTTTTTTGTAGTATTTTGAATATTACAATATTCAATAATAATATTTTAATAATAAATAATATTTTTTGTCTCTTTCTCTCCTTGTCAGAGCACACAGCTTTCAGAAAGCTGATTGATATCTTCTTTAGTTACTGACAATAATTCTTTGTTGGTGTACAAATTTAATTTAGTAAAGCTGAATGGTATTCAGTCCCTGTTGAATTATTCAAAGCACACTTGCATGTAGTGATATAGAGTCCCTGTTTGTTGACAGTCCACATAAACCAGAAGCAACAAATGTTGGGGGGATATGTCAGAAAAGCCTGAAGTGGGCTGAGTGTGAAACAAGTGGTCATGTAGGTATGAAGTGGGCAAATGTTAGCTCTAGGAGTAGAACAAAGGTTTTTAGAGACCCAGACTGTCATCCTGTCAGGGTAAAGGAATATTTATTTGTTGGCTTATTCAACAGCCTTTTGCATTGTTTCCAGACTTTGAGGGCATGCATTTCCCCGATTGAGCAATGGAAATCTCAAAAATACAGAGCCTGAATTCTGTACCTGCATTGTGGAAATGTTTTGTCAAATATCCCACCCAGTAACAGCACTTTTTTTCTTCACTGCGTTTATGCTGCCCAGTCTATTTGCTTGTAAAAGTGCTGAAATTTGCCAATGATGTGCTGTGTCAAAAAGTAGAATATTAAGGTGTCATAGGCAAAAATTCTCTTCATATTTGCATTTGCTGTAATGTGGAGGATACTAAATTTACAAGCAAATTTCAGCTGTTTTGATTTTATTCAGAAGTGTCAGTTTAGCCCTGTGTTCATGCCATTAAACTTCTACACATTTTTTTCAGTGTTCTTTTTCTGTTGGTTTTGTTTTAAATCTTTTTATGTAGCTTAAGAAGAGGTGTTTGTTAAAAGGTGTATTTATTCCCTGATTTACAACTCTAGATAGCAGCTACTTAAGGTTTTGTCAAGTGATACTACAGCTCATTTGAAAATACATAAACTAATTTTAAAGATAGAAGGCTTTACAATGGAAACTAGGGAAGTCATCTCAAATAAGAGAGGCTATTATATTTATTTCTACTTAAGCAAATTACTTTGTTTTCAAATTAACATATTTATAGGGATATTTTTCATATTTTCAATGTGTGTGATATCTAAGAAGTTGTGAGAAGAGGAAACAGGCTGGTTTGGTAGGTTACCTAGAATTCAAGAAATGACAACATTAAAATTACCTATAAAATCTCAGCTCTGACCCATGGATATATTTTGTGCTTCTGTTTTTAAATTGCATGATCATATGTCACTTTCAAAATATCCTATAACATTTTGTCTATAATGTTAATGTCGTGTAATCTCAGAAATACTTACTACACTTTCATTATCCAAATGGTCCAAAATATCTATATTGAGACTGTCGATATAGGTTATATTCTCTAAGGTGTGTATATTTTAATAATTTAGTCAATGGCCTTTCTTATACCTTTTCTCTTCAGCCAACCTTGTGTAGTTGGAAGGTATTTCTCTCTGTAAGTGTAGTCACAAACTTCCATGACCTATTAATGCTAGTACATTCCTGTTCTCTTTAGCACCCATGTCAGTGATAGCTGCATAGCCTGATTCTCTGCAGTTTGTGGTCTCCGAAAGTCAGAACAATAGATGTTCTTTTTAAGTACCCAGAAAAATGTGCAATGTTGTAAACTGCTGTCCTCAAATCTCTTCTGAAAATGAGTCAGTCTGGGGCCTCTCTGCTTCATGCGACCTGCTGTCATGACCCTGTGAATAACAAATGCCCATCTTGCTACTTTTATTTTTCCAAACCTTCCTGATGCTCCCAGCAGATAATGTTCACAGTAATCATCTTCATCTGCAGATAACAACAAAGTATTTACCACGTACTAACTTCATTACTTTGCATTAGTTGATTCCCAGCATTTTATATTTCCATTTTTTTAAAATCTGGAAGTTATTTCATTGACGTTAGGTCAGTGTTATGGGTAACAATTTTTCTCCTTTTTAGAGGGTGTAAATTCCAAAAAAGTAGCATCTACATTAATTCAGATTTATATTTATATAAATATGACATCTAAAAATTTAAAGACACTGTATAACCCAGGTACTTTGCGAATCTGAGAGATCTGAGCCCTCTCTGAGCTATGAGCAGGATTTAGAAATGTACTTTTTGCTTTAGACATCACTGCTGCCTTAGCAGTATAGTTTGCTGACCATCCTGCCAATCCACCTCCACCCCCTCCAACTCCCAAATTTGTTGTTTTTTTCATGATATAAGCCGTTTCATGATATAGCCATTATATAAGCCTCCTATCATGTCTGTCCTCCCATTGCGTAAGCGATAACATTGATTTTAATTCCTCTCCCCTTTTAAATGGCCAGCGAATTCCAGTGTGTTATTTGTCTTCCTTCCTTACTAATGCACAACCACACTGAAATCTGCGGCAGTCTCAGGAGTAGGCAGCACTTCAACCTTTTAAGATTATGTTTTACTCAGGCAGTTCACCCTGTATGCAAACTTATTTTACAGTATCTTGTGAAGTAGATATCTAATTTAGAAACACTTCTAGCAGACTATGTGTGTGGTTTCTTTATCAGCTCTTGTGGGGTGTTTCTGTTGGCTTTGTAAGTGGTGGGGGGCGAGAGAAACTTTTCATATCTGTATTTTTTTTCAAGCTAATGGAGATCTGCCATATAAGCAACTTCTGAGGAGATTTCCTGTCTTTCAGGCTTTCAGCTCCTTCTGAATTGTGTGATGCAAGGCAGAGAAGAAATTCATTTTGTCACGTTATCTCCTTCTGTAGAATATATGTAATAGGCTGAGGCTTTATTATTTGCCATCTCCCTTCTTACAAAACTAGGAAGAAATACCTGATTTTTTTTTTTTGTGCTAATTAAAGCACACCAGCTGCTACCAGCAAAAGAACACCTGTGCTGCTAGGGAGGCTACCTGGAAGCTTGGGTTTGATTCTCTTCTCCTTTACCCTAGTAAAATCAGGTGCAATTCTGTTGAAATTAAAGCAATGGACTGGGTAAGAATCACAAATGAATACTGAGTCCGTGTGGTTTACAGTAGCCTAATTCCAGCAACACTAATTGGTCTTAACTGTTTTTTTCTTTTGCAAAAGTATGCTGGTGCTGTAAAGCATGAAGTGGTTATGTAAATAAGCACAATATTGTATTTTTACCCACTGTATTGTAACACATTAATTTCTATATTTTTACAAATATTATTCAAATAAGTGAAATTGAGCCTCTGACATGAAAAAAAGTGAAGGCAGATAACTGAAGCATTCAGTTATCTGAATAACTGAATTCAGCATAACTGAAGGCACTGAATGCTTCTGAAGACAGAGCTTTATATGTATATTTTATTAACTGATGAGATGCTTAATTACAATATGAGAAACTGGACTTTACTGAGTGGAGTAAATGCGCATTTCTTACATATCCATTCAGAAGCCTGTTTCCTTGAGCCCTTTATATGGAGGTAAGAGCATCCAGAGCCTGAGAGAATTTCATCCAAGGTATTTTTGTGGAAGCTTTCTCCTTCATACATGTAGAAACAAAATTTAAAAGAAATGCATGTCATGCATACAGTCAGCAACAAACTACAGAGCTATACTGTTAAATGTTGTGGAGTGAAAATGAGATGATGTAACAGTTGTATATGCAGCCTATCAAACACATTGTGTGTTCCAGAGTGCTGTTTAGAATGCAGTACTGGGGTAGGATTAATGGTTCTGCAGAGAGATCAGTGTTTGAACTTTATGCCATTTAAAATAATGATCATTAACTCTTTTTGACACAGACTGATCAGGTTGTTGGAGGAGCTCCAAATGTTGTCCAAGATTATGTTGTTAATGTCCTAAATGGTGTTTCATCTCTCTGTTCTGTACCCTTCACCACTGTAGTGTCAAATAAATGGAAGATATTAATTTCCAGATTAGAATTATTAACAGTGAATTTTGTATAAAGACCATTTTTATCTGGTGTTTGTTTTTATACGTAGTTTTCCTGTATGTGACTATGTTGATGTTTCTCTCGGGCTATAATACTAATTTTTCTAGCTATTGAGTTTTGTTAATGGGCTGTGGGGAGCTCTTATTTATTGTTAGAAAACCTGCCTGAATAGCTGTGATTTCCTAATAGATAATGCAAGAGAGCATTAGTTACCAGTGTTGGGATACCTAGGGACATAAATCAATATTCAATGTGAACAGGGGAGTATTTACATGCTGAAGCATTTGCTTATTTGCTGTTGGAAACATGGTGATGCCATATGACTTTAGAAATAAGTTATTATATGCATGTCCAAGCTGTAACTGCAGTATTTTAAGATGCTGATCCCACAAAAAGCAGACTTTCTTTTACACACTACGAGAAATTGTTCTTAGATCAGTACCTATATTTATATCACATGATTATTTTATCTCTAATACGAATACATGGAGTTACTGAGTATTTTATTGCTTTATTGACTCTTTTAGTTGTTTGTTTTCTGTGTGTTTTGTGAGACAAGCATTGCACATCCATGTATGGGATGCTGCTTGTTCATAATGGGTATGCTTGCTGAGAAAGTAAAGGAGAACTTATTGCAGTTGTTTAAGAAAATCTGCATAGCATCTTTTAATGTTTTAGCAGTGTGATCCTTCTGTTGCCCTAGGAACTGTTCTGCAATTTTTGACTATTCATGTGATCTCACTAGAGCTAGTGAAATGTAGGTTCTTTTCTTCCTTGTCTATCTGTTCAAGTGCGTTAAGAAAATGTTAGGAAACATTTAGGATTACCTTTGCCACTAAGAAAATAGTGGCAGTGGTGACTGAAAGAAAATGGTATCTGTGGTGTGGGAAACAGGAGAGGAAAAAAAAGATAGGAAATTCTATAGCAAAATCATTCCTTGTAAAGTTTATAATGGGATTTTCAAACTACTTCCACCTGTTTCACTTTTCTTTTTTCTTTTCTTCTTTTTTTTTTTTCTCCCAAGTGTGGGGAGGGGAGTGTCAGGGCTTTGTTCTGTTTGGTACAATATGGCAAATACAATATAATATGGCAAATTATTCAGAGATTTCTGAAAGATCCGTTTAGAATATTTAAAATACCCTGAAATGAAAGAAAAATAAAGCATACAGACTTGCCCTTAGAAAATAGTTAGAATCTTATTTTTGTTCATATGCTGGTTGGAAGTACGTGGCTGAGAGATAATGCTTGTGGTATCAGACTTGTGTATTTTTAGGGTTTTTGTTTCTTGCAGGTGTAGGGCTCTTGGGTCTTTCTCTTTGCAACGTAAGCAGCAAGCGTGCGCTCAATTCAGGCCTGTGCACCTCTTGGTGTGGAAAGGGCTTTCGACAAGTTACCTGCTTAAAAGCCGCAGTTCAGCCCGAAGTGTCGTATCTCATCTGACTTACGGATGTTGGTTTGGGGAGGGCAGGAATCTGGCAGACTAGAGTATGTGACAAAGTCCAGGCGCTGTCTGGTGGTAGAAGCCCCTGGCATTCAAATAAAACCTCCCTTTCTCTTGTTAGCAGCCTATCCGCCCCGATGGGCTCAGCCCACTGTAAGCTGCCGTGTTCCTAAGCCCCAAGTGGGGAGTCAGGCACTAGGGTGATGTTGCTGCTGTCAGCATTGTGCTTTAGTGGTAACATTGTTGGCAGCCAAAATCTGTGGTTAAGAAGGACGTGTTTGGATGTTGGAGTTATTTTTTCATGGGGTTTTAAAGGTATTATTTGGTCATGTGGAGTTTTGACCTTTCAATAGAGACTGCATTAAATGCACTTGTTTCTTGCATTATTTTACATCTCTTTTCTTTTGTCATGCATTCTTTCCTGGATTATTATTCATTAGCTTCTCCAAAGTGATTAACAGTTTTTAAAAATAGGATCACGTGTATCCTGGTTTTCTGCATGAAAGCAGATCTGGAGAGCAGAGAAGCCCCAAGATCCCTATAGAAATTTGAAGACAATTTTGATACTCTAGTCCACTCAAAAATCTGCTGATACTGTAATGTTTTTTCCCTTGCCAGGACCCTCCTTGCCTGGTGTCATTTCTTGGGCTCTCCTGGGATGAGATTAGTCTAAAACAACAAAGTAGCCAGATGTCTGGTTCTGAGAGTGTCCCAGAGGCCGGGGTATGGTAGGCAACAGTAATCGCTTGGGGCTGAAGATCAAAGATACCTGAGAATTACTTATGGGCACATACTATGTGTCATTCCCATTATTAACAGTCTGAGGAAATTTGTATCCCTAATTAACCCTTTTGTTGGTTACATTTTGTTGCAGGTACAGTCCTGTCTAGTATAACTATTTGTTCTTTTTCGTTCTGCTGCAGAAGTAGACGTCAATGAAAATAAATAATTGTGATATGCTCATAGTAGCAGAACTGTGTAACCCATCTTCATCCTTCTGATCATAATCACTTAGAAATGTCAGAATTTAGCATGCTTTTTTTTTTTTTTTGTGGATACGCTATACTTATGGCCAGTGTTATTCCTATTCAGAATTATGTTAATAATAAGAATAGGTAATTTGTCAGGATAGTGGTTTTAGATCATTGCTTCCTTATCTAAAATGAATTCAGATCTAATCCTAGCAGTAGGATTTCTTCACATCACTGCTTTTCCTCTGCATTGATATTTCTAATAAAATGTTGATTCATATTTTTAATGATTAACCCCTGTTTCTATTATATTCCAAGATAACAGACTTGAGATT